CAGGAATTTGCCGACATCATTCATCTCCCAAAAAACAATAAAAGCAATTGCAAAAAAAAGACCAAAGAATTGTGGATGCTGGAAATCCAACACAAGAACAGAAATTGCTGTAAACATTCAGCAGGTCTGGCAGCATCATCTGGGGAGAGAAGCAGAATTAATGTTTCAGGGTCCAGTAACCCTTCTTCGGAACTGACTGTAGCTCGGAAAAGGTCAGTGTATATATGCTAAAGATAGGGTTGGGGGAGGAGGGAGAAGCAAACAATAGGTGGAGTGGAGCCCACACAAACTGCAGGAGCAACACCTCATATTCCGCCTCAGGAGCCTATGGCCTGACGGCCCAAACACAGAATTCATCCCGGCCTCATCCCATGTCCAACCCTCCCTCTCATCCCCGCCTCCTTGACCGGACACAACCTGTCCATCTTCTCCTCCACCTAACCGCCCTACCCTTCCCACTGACCAATCCCCACTACCCCCTACCTGAATACAATCTATCATCACTCCATCTACCTTTCCCCAACGCCACCCATCGTCCTTCCTGCCTCCTTGACCAGACACACCGTGTCCATCTTCTCTCCAACCTATCCAGCCCACCCATCCCACTGACAAATCCCCACCACTCCGTACCTGCATTCACCTTCACCATCCCACCTACCTTCCCCACCTCCACCCCTCTCTATTTATTTCCCAGCTCCCTTCCCCCTCCTCATTTCTGAATAAGGGTCCCAACCCAAAACATCAACTTTCCTGCTCTTCTGATGCTGCCTGGCCTCCTATGTTCCTCTAGCTCCACACTGTCGTCTCTGACTCCAGCATCTGCAGTTCTTGCTATCTTATAAAGAAAAGCAGTTAGGCAGACAAAGAAATGTGTAAAGGTCAACCTGAGAGAATGAATAGTTGCTAATGCATTGGGGGCTGACAATGGACTGATTGTCATAGCAGCCCATGTGATAACAAAGGTGTGTGGGGGTTGGGGTAGGGGCGTACCTAAATTTTAGGCTCAAGCCTAAAATTGTTGAACTCAACACTGAGTCCAGAAGGCTGCAAAGCCCCACAAGCAGAATGAGGTGCTGTTTTTCCAGCTTGTGCTGAGTTGTGCTGGAGCAACGCAGCAAGTCTGAGACAGAAATGCTGGCCAGGGAACATGGTTGTGTGTTGAAACTGCAGGCAACAGGAAGCTCAGGATCACCTCTGCAAACAGAACATACGTGCTCTGCTAAGCGATCATCCAGTTTACACTTAGGATGTGAGAACTGGTCATCACAGATAACTTATATATTCATAGAATAGAACCCTTTTCTGTTCATGAAGTCTACTGCATTATTATAGTGTGTACATTACATTTTGGGAAAGCCAGATATATTAGTAATGCCTACTGCCTGGTGTTGAGACCATCACTGTTTTCCTTTATTTTTCTCATTTTTAGTTCGGAACTATGACCTAAAGTTGAGAACCAAACTTTGCACTTTGAGTAGCAGCTTGTTTTGGAAAGGAGAGCAAACAAACTGATGTTGTTTACAAGAACTGGCCTAGAAAGATAACTGCAGGTTATTAATATTGTAAGAACACTGCAGATGTTTCAGCACCAGGATGTGTTATGCTCAAGGGCTGGCAGTTGGTTTAATGTTACATCAGTCAATTAAGGGGAGGCTGGTAATGACCAGCCAACCACAGAGAATGTTGAAAAACAGAAATCATAGATTGGACTCAGTTTTTTGAGGAAGAAGGCTGTGTGCTCAGAAGCTGTTGAACTGGGAAGCTGTATTTCAGTTTTACTCTCTCTGTTTTCATATTCAGTTGACAAATTATTCAATGTTTTGAGAAAGGAATTCCAGCTCATATGAAATAACTGAATATTCCTCAGAGCCCGCTGGACACTGTTTACACGACAAATGACTTCAGACTTCAAGCAAGATACAATCCCACATGCCTAGGTTTCTGAAGATGGGTCTAGGCCCGAAACGTCAGCTTTCCTGCTCCTCTGATGCTGCTTAGCCTGCTGTGTTCATCCAGCTCTACAACTTGTTATCTCTGTTCCTGTGCTATACTGTTCTATATGTTCTATGAATTTCAATAAGGCTTAGTACGTGTTGTTTAAACAGTTACCAAACTGGTCAGTTACAACTTTTATTTCCTTTTTTATTTATCCCTCAATTAAGTGTTTACTCGTCTTTCTATGTGAGAGAGTGGGGCTTACAGTCAAAGAATATTAAATCATAGACATTAATTAGATTACCTTTTTGTTTAGCTTTGCTCTAACTGTTTTTTCTGTTTAAATTATAAACCTAGTGTCCGATATCTTTTATTCTTAAAGTCTGGTTAGGAACAATTAGACAATTGTGAGGGTCATCAGATGTTTTAATTTCACTGATCTGTAAATCCAGTGTGAGTGAGTCTGAGCCTGTGATTAATATCAGAAACAAAACAGATTCTTAGTAATTTGAGAAGTCCTTTCACTCACAATTTACAGTTCAATACAGTTTGCCTCTATAAAGAACTTAGATGTATGCAACACAAGATTTGCTGTGCAAATACAGTAAGAGATTGTAAGTTCAGTAAAATTGATGAACCCTTAACTTGAAATGTTAACTCTGTTCTCTCTCTGTACAGATGATGCCAGACTAGCTGAATTGCTCCAGTGATTTCTGTTTTTGTGTGTTCTGAGAGATCTTGGATTGTCTTTTTGAATTGTGGCCTGCTGGTAAGAGCTTCAATGACATTCACAAGTGGAGCCTGCGTACTCGAACAGAAAAACAATCACCTGCTTTTTATTTCTGGGTGCGGCCATGTAAATTTACATTTGAACGTAGGACTAAAGCAATCAAGGGTAGTTTGCAAATTTGGTGCAGAGTGTGTAATAACATTCCAGACATTCATGTGCTGTAGGATGTATTTGTTTATGATGGTTAGTTTAATTTTGATACAGGAAGGTTAAACAGTTTTCTATCTAGGCAGCATTTAATACAGCAAAGGATAGTTGATCTTTGAGGTGAATAAATACTGGTAGGTAGGTTGTGATTAGCGCGTGAGATATCACACTGCTTTGGTTGACACCAGAATACCACATCCTGAAAGTGTGGTAGATTTTTTAAAGATGCAAGACAAGGCAAGTCTGCCTTTACAATTAGGCATGATTTTTTAAAAATCTACTTTAGGAACTTTGAGAGTGGATAACAATTTGTTTGCAATAATATGAATGTTGAAACCTCTATTCTGAATGCATTCCACAGCCACACTGCATGGTGATAATGAGCAAATTCATTGTGTGGTCACTAGCTAAAAGCAAAACATTCTGCTAAGGGACAACATTTATGTATAAAACAGAATGTGGTGCTTTTTCTATCATTTGTGCACTGGCATTGTCCTAGCTGTTGAGTACCAGGCCTTAATAGTTTTATGGATTACTCTACACTGTAATAACAGTTGCAATGTAGAAAACGTGGTAGCCAATTTCTATACAGTAAAGACTCTCAAACAGCAAGAAAATAACAACTACGTAATCTGTTTCTCCACTACTCTTTGTCAAATAATACGATAGAAGCAGCACCAGCAAAGTAGGCAGTGTTTGGGCTCCTCAGCCCTTCCACTCCAGATGGCCACTTCTTCCTTTTTTTGTCTTTTTTCTTTTTCTTCACTTTCTTCCTGGCAGCGGTGGAGAAGGTGACATCACAGAGTACAGCGGCTGGAGCGGGACTCTTGTTAAGGCGGCAACTTCACAGTGAAGCCAAGTACACCCAGGTTGTAGGAGGCCCAGAGCACAGTGGTGGCGGCAGCTCCAGGCTATGGCAGACCCAGAGCCAAGGTCTCCTGGTTATGGCCAGGGCAGCCACTGAGCCAGGGTCTTCTGGTTATTGGGGAAGCAGTGGCAGCAGCTCCTGGTTATGATTGGCCCAGAGCTGGGGACTCCTGGTTATTAGCAAGGCGGCAGTGGTAGCAGAGCCAGGGGCTCCTGGTTGCAGGGTAAGTGTGGGTCCAGCACGGGGACGCAGCCTTGGCAGCCCAACAGCAAGGCGGGCCTTAAGAATGGCAACACTGACATTAGTGGATCCAGCACAGGCAGAGCGGGATGGTGGTGCAGGTGTCGGTCAGCTGACTCAGGGCTCTGGACTTATGGTGAAGACGTGGAACAAAGATGGACTTCTTTTCAGCTTTATCATTTAATTCTTAAAATATTCAAAATAATGCTGACATGTGGCAACAGTTGAAGCTCTTCACAGTGTTGTTCATTGTAGAGTACAAGTCACGATAAATCATCATTCATTTATTTTGCATCCACCTGAGTGGGCAGACAAAACTTCAGTTTTAATGTGTTGGCCAAATAATAGCGTTTAAAACAGTAACAGCACTGCAGTGTCAGCTGAGATTTTATGCTCAAACCTCTGGATTGGTGTTGGAACATTGATGCCATTCTTGCTTTTGGGTCAGGAAGCAATGAGCCTCCATCAATACGAAAGCAAAAAAACAATAAAATTTCAATAGATGTTTATAAATGAACATAACACTCAAAATGGGCACAAGATCTTAAGAGAGATAACACAGTGTGGATCTGGAGGAACTCAGCAGGCCAGGCAGCAGAGGAGCAGGAAAGTTGACATTTCGGGCCAGGACCCTAATTCTACTTTGACTTTTGCCGATAAACAAAGACACCTGTAAAAATGCATACACACAGATCCTGTGATAGCCAAGTAAAGGTTACCCCAATTTATTTGACCCTTTTCTGAAGAAGGATCCTGACCTGAAACGTCAACTTTCCTGCTCCTCTGATGCTGCCTGGCCTGCTGTGTTCTTCCAGCTCGAAATTGTGTTACCCCAATTTAGTACTTTATTTGCCTTACAAATTTGCTACAGCATAAATTAGTTGCTTTCAAATATTAAGAATTTGAAAGAGCTGGAAATTAATAACAAGTTTCACTTCATTTGCAAATGTATGCCTTAAACGAAAAACAAGCAAAAGATAAAGTTACTATTATTTACTAAAACAAAGATGTTGCACTCACACGACGAATACGAAGTTCTTCCACCACTTCAAGAAGGCTAGTTTTAAATTCTAGCTGTTGAACGGACCTAAGTCCAGTAGTATCAGAGTTCTGAAAGTCGTATGTGATAACTAATTCAGACTTTGAGTCTTTGGAAACTCGATTTTTTCTGACATCCATCTGTGCAACAAGAAAAGTTTTACCTACAGTTAATTTTTTAACAATAAGTTGGACCATTTTACAGAACCTTACAGAAAAAGGCACCATTTTACTCAATCCAATCCTATTTGTGTAGTTGTGTGATGATTAAAGTACATTTGTGTGAAAAACACTTTTTTTTAATAATTGTAGCTTGAAATTAATGAGATAAGCAAAAGGTTTTTGAAGAATATCTAATTGTGGTGAATGCTGACTCCCTGTGTGCCTGAAAGAAGTGATTAATGGTCATTCACTGAAACACAGGCACACAAGACTTAAGATTTTCTCTAAAAATGAAATAGCAGTTTTATTACACAAAGGAGTAAACAGAAAAACTTGCTATTTAAATATAAAACACGGTTTTGAAGATCTTAAACAAAGGAGACTATGAAGGAATGAGGGAGGAGTTAGCTAAGGTAGAATGGGAGCAAAAACTTTATGGTGGGTCAATTGAGGAACAGTGGAGGACTTGAAAAACGATTTTTCACAGTGCTCAGCAGAAGTATATTCCTGTGATAAGGAAGAACTGTAGGAAAAGAGAGCGCCAGCCATGGATGTCCAGGAAAATAAAGGAAAGTATCAGATTGAAAAAAAACACATACAAAAAAGCAAAGAGTAGTGGAAAACTAGTAGACTGGGAAATCTTTAAAGGCCAACAGAAAGCCACAAAAAAAGTTATAAAGAAAAGTAAGATAGATTATGAGAGTAAACTAGCTCAGAATATAAAAACAGGCAGCAAAAGTTTCTATAAATATGTAAATCGTAAAAGAGTGGTGAAGGTAAACATTGGTCCTTTAGAGGATGAGAAGGCCAATTAAATAACTGGGAATGAGGAAATAGCCGAGACATTAAACAGTTATTTCGTGTCGGTCTTCACAATGGAAGACACAAATAACATGCCGAAAACTAATGGCAAGAAGGTTATAGCAGGCGAGGACCTAGAAACTATCATTATCACTAAGGAGGCAGTGCTGGGCAAGCTAATGGGGCTAAAGGTAGACAAGTCTCCTGGCCCTGATGAAATGCATCCCAGGGTACTAAAAGAGGTGATGGGGGAAATAGCAAATGCACTAGTAATTATTTACCAAAATTCACTGGACTCTGGGGTGGTTCCCGCAGATTGGAAAACAGCCAATGTGACGCCACTGTTTAAAAAAGGAAGTAGACAAAAAGCAGGTAACTACAGGCCAGTTAGCTTAACTTCGATAGTGGGGAAAATGCTTGAATCTATCATTAAGGAAGAAATAGCAAGACGTCTGGATATAAATTGTCCCATTGGAAACACCCAGCATGGGTTCATGAAGGGTAGGTCATGTTTAACTAATTTGGTGGAATTCTTTGAGGACATTACTTGCATGGTGGACAATGGGAAACTTGTGGATGTGGTGTATCTGGATTTCCAGAAGGCACTTGACAAGGTGCCACACCAAAGGCTGCTACATAAGATAAAGTTCCACTGTATTACAGGTAATGTATTGGCATGGATAGAGGATTGGTTGACCAGTAGAAAGCAAAGAGTAGGGGTAAATATCTGGTTGGCAGTCAGTGGCTACTGGTGTGCCTCAGGGATCAGCATTGGGACTGCAATTGTTTACAATTTACATAGATGATTTGGAGTTGGGGACTAAGTGTGGTGTGTCAAAATTTGCAGACAACACTAAGGTGAGTGGTAGACCAAAGTGTGCAGAAGACACAAAGTCTGCAGAGGGATATAGATAGTCTAAGTGAGTGGGCAAAGGTCTGGCAGATGGAGTACTATGTTGATAAGTGTGAGGTCATCCATTTTGGTAGGAATAACAGCAAAATGGACTATGTTTTAAATGGTAAAAAATTGCAGCACACTGCTGTGCAGAGGGACTTGGGTGTCCTTGTGCATGAATCACTAAAAGTAGGATTGCAGGTGCAGCAGGTGATTAAAAAGGCAAATGGAATTTTGTCTGCCATTGCTAGAGGGATGGAGTTTAAAAACAGGGAGGCTATGCTGCAGCTGCATAGAGTCCTGGTGAGGCCACACCTGGAGCACTGTGTGCAGTTTTGGTCTCCTTACTTGAGAAGAGATATACTAGCACTGTAGGGCGTGCAGAGGAGATTCACTCGGTTGTTTCCAGAGTTGAGAGGGTTGGATTATGAGGAGAGACTGAGTAGACTGGGATTATATTCATTGGAATTCAGAAGAATGAGGGGAGATCTTATAGAAACATATAAGATTATGAAGGGAATAGATAAGGTGGAGGCAGGGAGGTTGTTTCCACTAGCAGGTGAAACTAGGACTAGGGGGCATAGCCTCAAAATAAAGGGAAGCCGATGCAGGACTGAGGTCAGGAGGAACTTCTTCACCCAAAGGGTTGTGAATCTGTGGAATTCCCTGCCCAACTAAGTGGTTGAAGCTACCTCGCTGAATGTTTTTAAGGCAAGGCTAGATAAATTTTTGAACAGTAAAAGAATTAAGGGTTATGGTGAGTGGGCAGGTATGTGGAGCTGAGTCTCAAACAGATCAGCCATGATCTTATTAAATGGCGGGGCAGGCTCGAGGGGCCAGATGGCCTACTCCTGCTCCTAGTTCTTATGTTCTTATGTAAACACCTCGAAATAAAAATCTCTTATTCCCCAACAATATTATTTTGCACCGATTCAAATTCAGAAAAAAATTACCCTTCTTTATAAAATGTTTAAGTTGACCCAACTGTTTCTCACCAGTTCTGTCATGTTAACAATGAAGTCTTACATACAGCATCAAATAATACAGCACAGGAACAGGTCCTTTGGTCCATCATATCTGTGCCAACTATTCTAAACTAATCCTACCTGTCTGCACATGATCTGCATCTCTCTATTCCCTGCCCGTTCACATTTCTGTCAAAATGCCTCTTAAATGTTGCTATCATACATTCTTCTACCACCTCCCCTGCCTGCACATTCTGGGTACCTACAACCCTCTGTGTTTAAAAAAAAAACTGTCCTTGCACATCTCCTTTAGGCTTTCCCCCTCTTACCTTAAACTTGAGACCCCTAGTATCTGATATATTCACCCGTGAAAAAATTCTCAGACTATCCTCCCTATCCATGCCTCTCATAGAATTCTATAACGCTATCAGGTCACCCCTCAGCCTCCGTCGTTCCAGTGAAAAAATCCAAGTTTGTCCAATCTCCCCTTAAAACGAATACATTCAATCCACGCAACATCCTGGTAAACCTCTTCTGTACCCTCTCCAAAGCCTCCAATCCTTCCTATAGTGCAGCAACCAGAACTGCAAACAGTACTCCAAATGGAACCTGACCAAAGTCTTCTACAGTTGCAACATGACTTGCCATTTTTTTTTAAACACAACACTCCTATCAATGAAGGCAAGCATGTTCCACACTTTTTTTTACCACATTGTCAACTTGAGTTGCCACTTTCAGGGAGATACAGACTTGGACCACAAGACACCTCTGTACATAAGGGTATTTACATTTACAGTAGACCTTCCTTTTGTACTTAGTCATAGAGATGTACAGCATGGAAACAGACCCTTCGGTCCAATTCGTCCATGCCGCTAGATATCCTAGATAAATCCAGTCCCATTTGCTAGCATTTGGCCCATACCCCTCAAAACCCTCCCTATTCATATACCCATCCAGATGCCTTTTAAATGTTGTAATTGTACCAGCTTCCACCACTTCCTTCTGGCAGCTCATTCCATACATGCACCACTATCTGCATGAAAAAGTTACCCCATGGGTCCCATTTAAATCTTTCCCCTCTCACTTTAAACCTATGCCCTCTAGTTTTGGACTCCCCCACCCTGGGGAAAGGACCTTGGGTATTCACCCTATCCATGCCCCTCATGATTTTATAAACCTCTATAAGGTCACCCTTTGACACTCCAGGGGAAATAGTCCCAGACTTTTTACCCTCAATCTATAGCTTAAACCCTCCAACCCTGGCAAAATCCTTGTAAATATTTTCTGAGCCCATTCTAGTTTCATAACATCCTTCCTATAGCATGACCAGAATTGCACACAGTATTCCAAAAGTGGCCTAAACCAATGTCCCAACTCTCATATTCAATGCACTGACAAATAAAGGCAAGCATTCCAAATGCCTTCTTCCCTATCCTATCTACCTGCGACTCTACTTTCAAGGAAGTATGAACCTAAGCTCCAAGGTCTCTTTGTTCAGTGACACTCCCCAGGACCATACCATTAAGTGTATAAGTCCTGCCCTGATTTGCCTTTCCAAAATGCAGCACCTCACATTCACCTATATTAAACTCCATCTGCCACTCCTCGGCCCATTGGCCCGTCTGATCAAAATCCCGTTGTACCCTGAGATAACCACCTTCATTCTCCACTACACCTCCAATTTTGGTGTCATCTGCAAACTTACTAATCATACTTCCTATGTTCACATCTAAATCATTTTTATAAATGGTAAAAGTGGACCAACACCGATCCTTGTGGCACAGCACTTGTCACTGGCCTCCAATATGAAAAGCATCCCTTCACCACCGCCTTCAGTCTTCTACCTTCAAGCCAATTCTGTATCCAAATGGCTAGTTTTCCCTGTACTCCATGTGATCTAACCTTGCTAACCAAGAGGAATCTTGTTGACTGCCTTACTGAAGTCCATATAGATCACATCCACCACTCTGTCCTCAATCCTCTTTGATCACCCAACATGCCTTATATCGCACTTGCATGGATTAGACTCCATATCATTTCTCCAGCAAAATTTCTGGCTGATCAATATCCTGCTGCATTCTTCGATATCCTTCCTCACTATTGATTATGTTCTTAAATAAATACTAATAAGATGAAAAGCCTGGTCTTTCTTAGTTTAAAATCTGCAGATTTCCAATCAAACACTCCTTGTCAGGAGGTTTCACAAACTAAACTTTAAACGAAAATAACTGTTTTTCTTGAATTGTTCCTTAATCCATTCTAGGAGAGAAACTATGTTTGCCTTTGACCTCAGTCACAGCTCCTCCAAAACTGCCCTACAACTTACAATGTCTGGGTTTGTCTAAGCTAAAATCATTCTAACTCAAAACCAAATGAATGCCTTCAATGTAGACAGTCCTTATTGTAAACCCCACAATATCAACAAACCTCCATTAACATAGAATCATAGAATCTCTACAGAGTGGAAACAGACCATTCGGCCCAACAAGTCCACACCGGCCCTTGAAGAGCATCCCACTCAGACCCATTCCCCTACCCCTGCATTTCCCATGTCTAACCCATATAACCTAAACATCCTTGGACACTATGGGCAATTTAGCATGGCCAATCCACCTACTCTGTACATCTGTGGACTGTAGGAGGAAACCAGAGCACCCAGAGGAAACCCATGCAGATACGGGGAGAATGTGCAAACTCCACACAGACAGTCGCCCCAGGGTGGAATTGAACCCAGGTATCTGGTGCTGTGAGGCAACAGTGTCAACCAATGAGCCACTCCAGGGATTTTGCAGTTGCTATATTGTAATGAGGTCAGACAGCTGGAATTCAGGGAGTACGAGTTCCCTGATTGGGGCTGTTAATCTGGTTCAATCAGGGAGCCCTGGCTGACAGATAACAGGCATCTCAGACATCCTGTTCACTCAGAGCTGGCTCTGAGGAAGATGGATCAGCGTCAAGGACTCTCCACATATAAACAAAGGGTGGCCTGGTGATGGGATATCAGCCTACATGAAGTTATTTCAGTGAAGAGAGAAAAGCAAGCTCCTGAAGAAATTTGCTCGCAATCATCTTTGAGTTGAGGTAAGCTTTTCTGGCATCATGCCGTTATATCGGAAGCTTGACCTGTTCAATCCTGTCGAAGACTGGGCCTAGTATATGGAAAAAATGTGTCAGTTTTTCTGGGCAAATGAAAAGCAACGAGTAATTCTCCTGACATCTTATGTACCTGCAGCTTTTGTCTATTATTAGGAGCCTAACTTAGAGTTGATGGATTTATTTAACAAATGTTACAATCCCAAAGCTCCTTTAATTCTGAGGTGCTATCGATTTTACTCAGCAATTTGGGAACCAGCAGGATCCACATTGGGATTTTTGACTAGGTTAAGACAACTGGCAGAAGGATTTTGGATTAACCCTTAATGGGATGCTGAGACACAATTTGGTACGTGGGATTAATGATGTAACTATGCAAAAGCGCCTACTAGCTGAAGCCCAACTGGACTTCAAACAGGCACTACAACAGGTTTTATCACTGGGCAATGCGGGAAGTGAAGCATATATGTTGCAGGGTATTCTGACAGCAGTGGACACCCTCGCCAGTCTGACTGAGCTTGGGGAACACCACTTGAATGAAGACAATTGCATAGCCTCACTCAGGACTTATCCTGAACAGAGGGACTCAAGGTCAGCTCACAGCAAAACCCCAAAACAAAGCAACCCTTGGCAGAAAGGCTAAAACTTTCTTCAGGATCCAGACCAGAAAGCCATTGTAGTTGCTGCTGGTATGTGGACTCGAGATGACATGAGAATCCCATTAGATCTAAGTTACATAAGAGAACTCATAAGCCAGTATCCAGGAGAGTGCACAACCTGGCAAGTCCACCTACCTTTGGTCTTGAACAGTTACATTGCCTAGCAACACCCAAATCAGAACTAATCAAAATAAACATCTGGCGATATGGTCACCTAGTTCTAATGGAGGTTGATACTGGTACGGCTGTTTTAATGATCGCAGAACCAGTCTTTAACAAAATTTGCTGTGGACTCCAACCCTTAAGTTTGTGCAAGACCTCGGCTAGACTGAGAACCTATACTGGGGAACCTTTAGAGATTATGGTTACAACTTTGGTTCTGGTCTTGTACAAGAAGCAGCTGATTCAGTTACCACTGATTGAAGTAAAAGGGTCAGGACCAAGCTTAATAGGGCAAAATTAGTTGAGAAAGATTCACCTAGACTGGCTCACCATTTGTTGATTAGAAAATAGCTGCCTGAGTGAAGTCCTAATTAAATAACCAGGTGTTTTTCAGGCAGGTCTTGGGACTATCAAAGGAGCCAAGACCACCTTGCACGTTGATCAGGAAGCAATTCCACAAGGCCTGCCCAGTGCCATTTGCTTTAGGGGCAAAAGGTAGCAGGAATCAGAAGGCTGGAAAGCAAAAGAATCATGAAATTAGTCCAGTTTGCAGAATGGACAGGACTGGTCATACTGACTGTGAAGCCCAACAGGTCAGTTCACCTTTGTGGGGAATTTAAACAAACGGTAAACTACTTTTCACAGCTGGATAACTACCAATTTCTTGCATAGTGGATTTATATGCAAAGCGGTGGCGGGGGGGTCAGTCCTTCACTAAACTTGACGTGAGCCATGCATATTTACAATTGCGGTTGGATCAGCATTCCTGGAAGTATGCTTCAATTAATACCCTTTTGGAGTATCATCAGCGTGTGCCATTTTCCAGTGGAGAACATTTTACAAGATCTACCCCAGTCCGCCATTATCTGGATGACTGGCTAATAACAGGGAAAACAAACAAGGAGCACTTAGAAAATTTCGACACAATCCTTAAGACATTTTTCCCAGCCTGGTGTATGCCTTAAATGGGTAAAATGTGTTCCAGGCATCCCAAGTGACCTACTTGAGCTTCAGACTTGTCAAGACCAGGTAAAAGATAAAGTGAGGATGATCAAAGGTGCCTCGGCTACCGCATCTGTACCGGAGCTTAGATCTTTCCTTGAGCTGGTGAATTATTATGGAGAGTTCAGACATAAAGTGACCTCCGTCCTGGCACCTTTGCATCAAATCTTTAAAACAAAAGGGCAGTCTTGGAAATGGCCATAGCCTTCAGGAAGTGAAGAAACAGCTATCATCCTCCAAGGTGTTGGCACATTATGCTTCTAAGCGAGATCTGAAACTGACATGCGATGCCTCTCCGTACAGCATCAGGGTGGTATTAGCTCATAGATGGCCCAATGGAGAGGAATGCCCAATAGTGTATGCATCCAGGGCTTTGGTTAATGCAGATCGTAAATACACCCATTTAGAGAAGGAAGATTTGGCTGTCATATTTGAAGCCAGGAAGTTTCACCAATACCTTTATGGATGTAAATTTGTAATAATAATAGACCACAAACTCCTGTTAGGTCTACTTGAAGAGGACAAGGCATTGCCTCCCATATCTTCAGGCCAAATTCAGCAGTGAGCCCTATACTAACTGCATGTAATTACAAGTTGGAACACCTTCTAGGAGGGCAACTAGCAAATACGGATGCATTGAGCTGCATCCCACTGGCAGACATACCATCAGCACTGCCACTGGAAGAGTTTGTCATGGTTTTACATTTTCTGGACACACTTCCAGTCACAGTTGGCAATAACAGACTTTGGTCGCAGAAATATCTGGTCCTGGCAAAACTGAAACAGCTGGTGGTGATGGAGGAAACCAAAGGGACATCACAACCAGAATTGAAACCTTTTAGATCCTAGACAGACAATATCAGAGTAGTAGATGGCATGTTATTATGGGGAGCAATGATTATCCCGTGCAAAGGTTGCTACAAATACTGGCTGAACTCCACCAGGGTCATCCAGGGGTTTCCCAAATGAAGATTTGGCGAGAAGTTATGTCCGGTGGCCAAGACTGGATGAAGACATAGCTGCATTGGTGGGGCAGTGCCCAGGGTGCTAACAAGGACAAAAATTACCACCAGCAGCTCGCTCACATTTATGCGAATGGCCAGGTAAACCCTGGACTCAGTTACATATCAACTATGTAGCTCCTTTCATTTTAAATTAATCATTGTGAACATCAACTCAAAATGGCTGGGCAATTATAGAGTTCATTCATCAAGCACAGGGACAACGATGTAAAAAATGTGCGCAGTTTTTCTAATACATGAATACCCAATAGTGTTCGTCACAGATAACAGGCCATCGTTTACCAGCAGGGAATGAGTATTTCCTAAAGTCGAATGATATTTGTCAACTCTGTACCATCCATCATCCAATGATCGTCAGAAAGAGCAGTCCAAACTTTGAAGACAGCCTACAGCTTCACGAAACATCAAACTGTCCCACTTCCTGTTTGATTATAGAACCACCCCCTCATGCAACTACAGGGACAACTCCAGCAGAGTTGCTAATGGGGAGACGGTTAAGTCTGCTCTTCCCAGATCAGGGGAGTGAAACGGCATCAGGAATGCCAATGCCGGACACAAGACTCCACTTGGCGAGATTCACAGTTTAGTTCTGGGGACAAAGTCTGGTGTAGGAACTACGGGAATGGCTTTGCATGGTTAAGAGGCATGGTCAGTGAGGTCAAACGATGTATTAAGTTTGGATAGGTGCAATGGCTCTGAACAAACAAGTAGACCATATGCAAGCTGAAAACTCGTAAACAGTGCAAAGGCAAAACATGCCTGGCTCCTTGACAGCCTTTTTGACTGTTCTGGAATCCATGGATGCTCCCTCTCCGTCAAGCATTGAAAAGTCCTACCTCGACTTCATTTTTTTTCCTCCCCTCGTCCGTCCGTTCCTACTTACATCCACAATTCCTCCGTCGCTTTAAATCAGTTTCAGAATGTCCAATTTTTAGGCCTCCAGCTGGCCCGTTTTTAACATGTATGTGCAACCCGTTACATGTCCACTCTCCCATCAGGATGGTCTCAGGGCTCTCCACTTCTTCCTGGAAAAAAGGCCTGAATGGTCCCCATCCACCAGCACCCTCCTCCGCCTGGTCGAGCTCGTCCTTACCCTGAGCAACTTCTCTTAACTCCTCTCACTTTCTTCAGGTCATGGGTGCCCACATTTATGCCTGTCTCTTTGTGGGGTATGTGGAACATTCCTTGTTCCAGTCCTATTCAAGCCGCAATCCACAACTCTTTCTACGCTATATCGATGACATCATCAGTGTCACTTGCCTTTCTCGTCCAGAATTAGAGAAGTTTGTCAATTTTCCTTCCAATTTTCACCCCACCCTCACTTTCACCTGGTCCATCTCCGACTCCTCCCTTCCCTTCCTCAATATCTCTGTTTCCATTTGTGGGGATAGGCCGGCCACCAAATGAAGCAGTGCTTTACCTGCACTTCACTCAATGTAGTGTGCTGTATTTGCTGCTCACAACGTGGTCTCCTCTATGTTCAGGAAACAAAGAGTAGACTGGGTGACTGCTTCACAGAACACCTTCATTCTGTCCGCAAAAAAAAACTCTGAGCTTCCAGTTGCCTGCCACTTCAACAAATCACCTTGATCCCTGGGCAACATCTGTCTCAGGCTTGCTGCAGTGCTCCAGCGAAACTCAGCACAACCTGTAAGAACATCAACTAATTTTCTGCTTGGGAACTCTATGGCCTTCTGGCCTCAATATTAAGTTCAACAATTTTAGGGCTTGTGGCATCTTCTCCCATGTCCTTACAGTCCCCATTAGTGGCTATTCATTCTCCTAGGCTAATCGTTATCCATTCCTTTTCCTGTCCAACTGTTCTTCTCTTTCCTTGGGCTTTATCTCCACCTATAGTTTACTCCTTACCCGTCCCTCACCCTATCTTCTGCATAAAAACCAACCTTTTTCTAGCTACCATCAGTTCTGAGTAAGGGTCACTGATACATTCTGATGTCTCTCCACAGATGCTACCAGACCTGCAGACATTTTCCAGAAATTTTTTGTTTTTGTCTTTTTCTAAAAGTGCTAAAGATACCTCAGAATCCGAGATGGACACAACAGACGTCACCACTTCTGCTGCCTGAAGAGAATGAATTTCTTACGAGACACTCTGGGCGCAAGAGGTGAGATACTGTGCATTTCATGCCACCTGTATCAAGGCAGAGTTGGAGGAACGTGATTCGATGCTAAAATGCTACAGGAGCTACAACAAACAACCTAGCTGAGGTCCTTGGACTCGGGGAGGGTGGGACAATGTAGTAATTGTAATGAGGTCAGGGACGACATGGTAACTCAGTGGTTATTACTGCTGTCTCACAGCGCCAGGGACCCAGGGTCAATTCCACCCTTGGGCGACTGTCTGTGGAGTGTGCACGTTCTCCCAGAGTCTGTGTGGGTTTCCATCGGGTGCTCCAGTTTCCTCTCAGTCTGAAGATGTGCAGGCTAGGCGGATTGGCCATGCTAACTTGGTCTGTGTTCAGGAGTGTAGGTGGGTTAGCCATGGGAAAAGCAGGATTGCAAGGATGCTGTGGGAACATAAGTCTAGGTGGGATGCTCTTCGGAGAGCTGGTGTGGACTTGTTGGGCTGAATGGCCTGTTTCCACACTGTAGGGATTCTACGGAAACAGGAGTGTCAGACATTCTGTTCACTCTTAGAGCTGGCTCCAAAGGAGTTGGATCAGTGTCAAGGACTCTCGCTTGTAAATAAAGGGTGACGTGGTGGTGAGATACCAGCCACTGTGGAGTTATCTCAGCAGTCACCTACGCTGTTAAATACTGGATTCAGTCACAGTCACAGTGCCACATGGACTCTCTGCCTTCCTTTTTTATTTAATATCCTTTGTGCCACTAATTTTAAATCAAACTCCATAAAGGATACATATAAATCACACCTTTCATCGTAGTATGATTCTTTAGTTATGATGCTCCAGCTATCATGATGTACAAGGCTAATCAATTTCATATTTTTCTATTTCTTACACAGCATCTCAAATATATATGATTTTGTTCCATGTGACAGGATGAATTATCTTGATGCATTCATGGATACTGGTCAGCATTTATTGCTCATCACTAACTGCCTGGAGTGCTGCCAAGAGTCAACCACATTTTCTTTATGTGGCGGTCAGACCAGGTAAAGGCAGATTTCTTTCCTTAAATAATATTAGTGAACAAGATGGATTTTTTTTTTTAACAAAAATTGACAATGGTCGCCATTAAATAATTTCTTATTCCAGATATTCATTGAATTCAAATTCCACCATTTTCCATGGTGGGATTCAAGCCCAAGCCACAGAGCACTGGCTTGAGGCCTGGACTACCTGTCCTGTGATATTACCATGAAACCACAGTCTTCCCTAAAATTATACTGCAGAAAGAGAAATTGGATCCAAAGATTTC